TATCTTCTCACCAGCAGAGTTCCGCCGCTTGAGCCGTCCGATTCCGGTACAAATGCGAGGCGGAAAACGCTAACGCCGCCAATAATCGCATCCTTGAGACGAAGCAGCGGGATCCATACATAAGTGTTGAAGAAACTGATGGCCAAAAGAAAACCTAACATGGCGATGTTGCGATTGAAGAATTGAAGGAAATCGGCGTTTAAATAGGACTATTGAAGGAGTGAAGAGGCGGATTAAATCGTAGATTTCGCCATTGAAGTCCGAGAAATCTGAGTTTTGGGGAAAGTGTGGGCCAATCGATTCACTTCTGGAATTTCTAGAGCGATTTGAAGAAGAAGAAGAAGAAGTATTATATCGATCAGTCTGTGCTCTGCGACTTTCGAACTTTTCAACTGCTCCTCTGATTGAGCGATGATTCCGGCGGAGAAGAAGGGCCGGGCGGCCGGCGGCGATTGCTGGTTTTTGGCATATTTATTGTTTCCATAGTTTAAACTCAATTATTTGAAAAGCTTTAAAGTAGCTTTTCGCATGTCGACACTATGGAGAAATTATTGGAATAACCATGTCAAAGCTTTTAAATCAATCCTTTTATTTTTATATATATATATACTTTTTTTTTTTTTTTTAATTTTGGTTTAATAATTATGAGTTTCTATCTATTTATCAACTCGAGCAGAGTTCACAACCCAATCGAACCTAACTTCTATTTTCGGGTTGGGTTGTCGAGTTAAACTAACCCCAATAGAGTTCACAGCCCGAAAATAGAGGTCGGGTTGTTGGGTTATTTCTTTTTAGAAAAAACTTATTTATCCATAATACAACTGTAATAACTAAAATCTCATAAAACTCAAATATTAAATATTTACGAGTCACAACTCATGACTAACATAGTTAAATATTCTTAAGCGGTATAATAATCTTAAAAAGTAATATAGGATAGGGGTTGTGTTGTAATTTTATATTTAAGACGAGTCGAGTTGGCCTGACTAGAAAAATGTTAACCTACAAACCGACTTGAATTTTCGATTTTTCGAAATCTAACTCCACTCAATTTTTATGATTTTGGTTGGGTAGTCCAAATTGGTCAGGTTCTCGAATCCTTTGAACACTTGTAGAGACAAGAAATTTATATTTCTTGAATATCTTTTTAATTTTCTTATTTCATTATTTAATTAAAAATATATATATATATATATAATGTTAAGGATATTAAATGTTAAAAGTTATAGGTATTTTTGAAACGAGATAATAACAATTTTATTTTTTTATTTTTTAAAAAAATTAAGGATACGAATGAAAGGGTTGAAAATTCAAACATATTTTTTAGTTTTTTAAATTTTTAACGTAAAAGTTCAAATACATTTTTGAAAAAAAAGGACGAAAACCCTAAAATACACCGTCAAAGCATTCTTCTTCATGCAAACGAGCCTCCCACATCTCTCTCTTAGTCTACCTGTGAATGTTTGATTAATCCACCACACCTAAATGGTGTGAAAGTTATCTCATTTATAATCAAATAAATTACAATGGAAATAGTAATAAATGGAAATAACAATAAATGGAAAGATACATATGATAATAAGTCAAATATGAGATATTTGCCTTATAATAAAATATCAAATATAATATATATGGTAAACTATAATTTATTACTAAATATCCTTAACACTATCTATCTCCCTCTGTGATGTTTGTACGTGTCGGTGATCTTCTAGTCATGTTTTTCACTTTGTTTCTACGTAATGTATGTAGGATTGGTATGTGTGAAAGTGATAAGGCTTGCGCATGAAAATGATACATACTCGAAAGTTAAACTTAGAGAGTACAAAAGCAACGGTCGTCTAGTGAATTCATATGCATGAAATCAATGTACACGGAACTATGTATATAAAAGTAACGCACATCCCGAAACAAAAAAAAAAAAAAAACATGTTTGCATGTGCATGCATTTAAAGACATCTTACTTCGATATGATGCCACCAACCACAGCCGCTACGATAGCAGAAGGGTCACCAAGAATGGCAGAGATGATAACACGAGCAGCAGCACCAGCTACCCGACCACACTTCTCGACCGCTCCTCTCGCTCCACGACGATCTTGCATCGAACCTTTAAGCCGTGGAATCGTAGTAACCATTTCCCTAACCTTATTCTTATCCACATTGAAATACATGGCTTGCCAACTCTCCACCAACATCTCCTTCACACACGACAAATGAAGATTATAAGTCCTACACTTTGACCTATAAGACCAGCCGAGCCCCTTCCCGCCACAGCCATGACACGAGCTCGAGAGCTTGTGACAAAGGTAGAGATGGTGCTGCCCATCGTCAAGGACTTGCGGGAGGCTAGCGCAACAAGGATGAAGATCAAAGTCACAGGCATTGCAATGGTACACAAAGCCATGAATGTGAGTCCTACAAGCATCGCATACGCGCTTGGCTTGGCCTGGGGGGTGATGGTGTAGCTTAAATTCACATTTTTTATAGAAGGGATGGGTGATTGTTGGGGCGCCAACGGCGCAGACCTTGTGCATGTGGAAGCCACATTGGTGGCACTTGTAGTTGTAGCCAATGCCAGCTTCATGGCAGCCATCGCAGTTGAAGGGGGCCTCGGTGTAGTTGAGTGTCAGCTTGTGGCGTGGGTGGATTGGGTGAGTTATCTCTTTCTCAATCTTCATGTTTTTTTTCGTGTTTTTTGCTCGTATAGTGCACTTTTAACGAGGTGAATTAAGACATATCGTGATGCTGGAAGATGCTTTGCTTAGTCTTTACGATTGGAGAGCATCTTTATTCAGTTGACATGTTTGTATGGAATTAGATGCCGTTAAAAGTATATTAGTAGATTGATATATTTATTCACTGTTTGAGTCAACTCTGCTAGTTTATGGGAATATGGAGGTAATCTAGTCGGACTCACTACTTTCATGGATCACTGTGACACGAAGAGCTTTGTTTATACTCATTGAGTGAAACGGGAAGAGGGTTTATAGGGAATGAACTCAAACTATAGTGGTCACTGATCTAAGAGGTCGTATCGAATGAGGTTTTTTGATAACCGAATGTAGTAGGGTCAAGTGGTTGTCTCGTGAGGTTAGTTGATGTTCATGCAAGTTGGCTCGAACACTTGGAGATAAAAAAGAATATAATAAGTGAAATGAAAAAAAGATTTTAGTTTTAGCTCATTATTTTAGGGATGGTAGTAGGGTTAAGTGATTGTCTTGTGAGATTAGTCAACATCATACCAGCTGGCTTGAACACCGGGAGATAAAAAACGGAATAGTAAGTGAAATGAGAAGAAGATTTCAGTTCTAGCTCACGGTTTCGGGAAAGGTAATAGGGTTAAGCAACTATCTCGAGAGATTAGTCAATGCTCACAAAAGCTAGCTCGAACATTTAGAGATAAAAAAGGGAATAGTAAGTGAACATTTATAACCCACTTTTTAAGTGAAGGTAGTAGGGTTAAGCGAATGTCTCGTGAAATTAGTCAATGCTCATACAAGCTGGCTCAAACACTTAGATATCAAAAAAGGAATGGTAAGTGAAACGAGAAGAAGATTTCAGTTCTTGCTCATTCTTTTAGGGAAGGTAGTAGGGTTAAGCGACTATTTCGTGAGATAAATCAATGTTCATGCAAGCTAACTCGAACATGGGTTGAGTTAGGTTGGGTTACGAGAATCTTTTGGACCAACCCGACATTTCAGTTTGGTTGGGTTAATAACCCGAACAACTTGAATAGAGTTTACAACTCAACCCTTCATTTTTTAGTTAGGTTGGATTGCATTGTCGACTTGTTCTTTTTTTTTTTAATTATTTAAAAAAAAAAATATCCTCGTGGACAACATATGTTAGGTTAATAATTAAATTCTTGTAAACCTCAAATATCAAATATTTACCAGTCATAACTAAAAAAATGTTATACCGTAAAAAGAATCTTTTAATAGTAAAAAAGAATATTGTAAAGGTAAAATTGTGAGCATAAGATAAAATATTAATTAACCTTTGAAAAGACGTTAATTCGAAAAAAAGAAAAGAAAAGAATATTTTAAAGTTCATTTTATCTTAGCTTAGCGCTGATTCACCAAAGCTGATCTACAAAGCATATATTTGAAGTAAATTGTTTTATATATTAATAATATATATATATAAAAAAAAAACAGATATAAATATAAATTCTTTAATTCTTTACAATTATTTTGTTTTTTTTATTTAAAATTTTTTTAAATTTAATTTAGTTTTTGTAAATATTGATAAATAATAAACAATAAAATAAAGAAATTCATATGTAATAAATTTTATAACATTAATTTTCAAAAGAATAAAAGTCAATTTGATATTAATGTTTGACTTTGTATTTTTATTAAAAAATATAAAGTTATTCTCTATAATATATTTTTTTATTAATATATCCCAATTATAAATGTTTTCAATTAAATAATTAAAAAAGAATAAGCAAAAAGAAAATTAAGATATTGTCTATAATGTCTCTTTACCTCATTTATAAATGTTTAAGAGTAACATCAATTTAATAAAAAAAGTAAATGTCTAAAAGTAAAACATAATTATATTATTATTATTATATTTATAATAATAAAACAAAATATTATATCTTTCATTAAAAATAATATATATATAATATTATATGTCCGGGTGAAATTACCAATTTATGTTCGTGTGGATCGAGTCAGTCCCTAATAATTTTTTTGGGAGTGGATTATTCGTGAAATTTTTTTTCTCTATAATTTTTAATCGATAATTTAAAACTTTCTAATATACTTTTTTTAAAAAGAAAATTAAATTAAAATAATATTTTCATAATATATAATTCAAATTAATTTGTAAAGAGTTCAAATTTCAATCACACAAAAAAAAAAAATATATATTTATTTTTTTTATCAAGTAATTAAATAAATAAATATATATGTATATGCCACGTTGGTTTAGTAGTATTGGGCCTGGAACGTGAATGTTTAGGCCCATCTCAAAAAGCAAATAATCTGACATGAAAATAAAATTTAATAAACAGTGGCAGTGATCGGAGCCCTAGAAAGTGCCGGCGAAGGGGAATCATCCACCGTCACCGTCACTGTCACTGGTACTCTCCACCCGTGTGAGCGATCGTGTTCCAATCTTAATGAATTAACGATTTGAACTGTTCTTCCTTCTTCTCAATTGCCTCAATTAGTTTTAGTTTCCTCTCCAATGTCTTTATGATTTTGCGAATTCTACTTTCTTCTCGAATATGGAAAGTTTAGGTCTCTCAATTACTTGTACAAATCTTCAGTTTGTATAAACGAGATAGTATTTATATCTTTGTGTTATCGGTATATTCGAGAAAATTGAGGTTCGTCCATTTCTGTATAGCCGCGATTATATCTCTCTAAGGATCGCGATTCAATCTCATTCTACTTTTGAAGCTGAATTTAGAAAAATGAGTTAATGAGGCTGCAATATTTGAAGAATTTGAATCTTGTTGGGAAGCTCTTCTGAATAAATATTACATTATGGACAATGAATGGCTTCAGTTAATGTATAGTGCTAGACAACAGTGGGGGTACCTGTTTATGTGGGAGACACTTTCTTTGGGAGTAAGTTTGAATTTGTTTTTTTGATGGATATGTTACTGCATCCACCACGTTACAGATGTTGGTTAAACAGTATGAAAAGGGCCATGGAAAATTGGTATGGAAAAGAATTAAAAGCTGATTATGATCCAACTAACTCTATGCTAGTTTTGAGACAATAGGCTGCAGATCCATATTCAAGGAGGATATTCAGAAAGTTCCAGGAGGAATTGGTAGAAACTCTTGCCAATCCTGCAACCAAAATTGATGATACAGGAACCATGGCAAGTAGCGAAATTTGGGGAAGATCATAATGCACATGCGGTTAGTTTTAATTCGTTTGAGAATTGTTTGATTATTCGGGAATAATTTGCAGACATATATTAGCAGTTTTCCTTCTCAATGTGTATTGAAACGGTGGACTAGAAATGACTGAAATGGAGATGCAATAGATGATCATAATTCTGAATTGCCAATTGAATCTAGAGATTCTTTTGACTGTTAGGTACAATAATCCAAGCAATCAAATGTAACGGCTCAAGCCCACCGCTACCAGATATTGTCCGCTTTAGCCTGTTACGTATTGTCGTCAGCTTCATGGTTTTAAAACGCGTTTGTTTGGGAGAAGTTTCCACACTCTTATAAGGAATGCTTTGTTCTTCTCTCCAATGTGGGATCTCACATCAAATGTGTTGAGGGATCTCGCATCAAATGTTTTGAGGAAGGAGTAAAGTCAATTCATACTCCTAACGTGGCTATGGATATGGATGCCTTAAAAGAGGCCTCCAGAAAGGTTGCTGCTGTGAAGAATCGTGGCCCTAGAGCTTTGAATGGTGATATCATCGCCAATGGAGTTGTTGATCAATGGTTGCAACAGAAGAAGATCAGGTAGCAACCTATGGATCAGTGGTTAGTCTCTTTAATTTGCAGTCTTAAAATCACAGAAATATATCATTATTTATTGATGATCCTCCGCCTCTTCCCTGAGTGGAGCCCAGAAATTGTGCATTGTGCTGAAAGACATCTAAAGCATTAGGGTAAAACACTAAATTTTTGTAACGGCTCAAGGCCACCGCGAGCAGATATTGTCTTCTTTGGACTTTCCCTTTTGGCCTTTCCCCTCCAGGCTTTAAAACGTGTCTGCTAGAGAAAGGTTTCCACACTCTTATAAAGGTGTTTCATTCATCTCCCTGACCAATGTGGGATATCACAATCCACCCCCTTCAGGGCCATGCGTCCTCACTGTCCTTCGTTCCTTTCTCCAATCGATGTGGGACCCCCACCAAATCCACCCTCTTTCAGGGCCCAGCGTCCTTACTGGCACACTGCCTTGTGTCTACCCCCTACGGGGAAGAGCCTCCTTGCTGGCACATCACCCGGTGTCTAGCTCTGATACCATTTGTAACGGTTCAAGCCTACCGCTAGCAGATATTGTCCTCTTTGGGATTCCCCTCAAGGTTTTAAAACACGTCTACTAGGGAAAGGTTTCTACATTTTTATAAAGGGTGTTTCGTTCTCCTCCCCAACCAATGTTGTTATAGGTTGAGTGGTAGGCATTTACTTTTGAATCAATTGAACATGGAGAGTTGGAAGATTCATTAGCTAATGTCAATAATAACGCTTAGGGGCTTGGGCCACATAGAAATTACTGAGTTCTTGTCCTACACCTGTACTTTGGTTGGATGGCTTTCATTGTCTATACATTTTCAGATAGGTATGCTGGTTTTCAACCTAATTATTTCTGAACTTGACTGTTATTTGATGCATCTGTTGTGCTGTATATGATGAATTGACAAATAGATAATGCTCGTGCTTGATATCGAAGCGAGTCGATAGATTTGTCAAGCCTTCAGTTAATTAGATTCAGGTTGGTAGCGGTCATGTGGTCGTTACTTGTTGGGTGAATTAAATTCTCTGAATTGTCCGAATACGAGCCAACTGTTCTTGTCTCTGCAGTTTTCATATCTACTTTTCTGTATGAGATTGTAAAGAGAAAGGCTTGAAATAGCCTATCATCAATTTTGTGGAAGAAAAACAAAAGAGAAACATCTGAGAAGATAATGAAGTTTTCAGGACATAACGCACTTTCTTATTTGTTCTCTGTTTCTGTTACTTCTTTTCCCAGGAATAGGAGAACAAAATTCATGATCTTGGAAAAAACTGATCAACGTTGTGAAGTGTATAGAGCAAATCTCGTGGCTGTTCTTAGGGACGTGGAAGAGTTGGTTTTCACACCCTTATAAGGAATGTTTCGTTCTCCTCTCCAATAGATGTAAGATCTCATAATCCATTCTCCTAGGGGCCAGTGTTATCATTGGAACACTGCCCGTTGTTTGACTGATACCATTTATAACAGCTCAAACTCTCTGCTATTATTCTCTTTGGGGGTTCTCTCAAAGTTTTAGAATGTGTCTGTTAGGGAGAGGTTTCTATATAAAAAAATGTTTTATCTCTTTCCAACTGACGTGAGATCTCACCCATTATGATTGTCATCCTCTCTTGAAAGGAACGGTCGGGGTGTCTACTGTCATGTAAGTGCTGTAAATTCTAAATGTTATCTGAGTATTGCTGTGTAGAAAAAAATGGTATACCTTAACCTATTCGACTGTGACAAAGAGGTGGTTGGATCGAGGATGAACCATCATAATCTCTGGCATTAAAGGCCGCCTTTGGACGTAGACTAGGATAATGAAAGCATGAAAGTTGTTGAAATCCTGATGACTCTTTGGTGATTCTTGTAAAGTAAATACAATGTATTGTTAGAAGTTCTTAAATTTTGTAGGAATATCATTTAATATTAGTTAGGTCCAATGAAAAAAAGCTCTATTTTTCTCGATCCAGCATCCTTGCTGACATCACTCAATATTTGCTTTGATACCATAAGTAAATATTGTCCGCTTTGACCCGTTATGTATCGTCGTCAATTTCACAGTTTCAAATGTATCTATTAAGTTTTCATACCCTTGTTAGGAATGCTCAGTTTTTTCTCTCTCCAACCGAGTGGAACCCTCATGACTTTTCAAATGTTCCAATATTGATTGCAACTAAGTTTCTTCCAATATTGATTGCAACTAAGTTTCTTAACGGTGACATTGATCATCAATAGTACATCATTTCTCATTATCAATGTATCGCATTAGTATATGCCCATTTAGAATGCAATTTCAAGAATTGATATATCAATAATTTATCAACACTCTGATGTTATCAATAGTATATCAATATCAATAATGATATCTAACATGTTCATAAACTTTCGTTTTAATTTTACATCAAGTCTTTAACATTTTTCTTATAGCAAGAGAATCAAGTTCGATATCTATTAGAGATTTTCATTTAACTCACGGGGTCGAAACCCTACCAAGGAATCCCCGGTCTAAATAGAGGAGTTAGTGGATAAATTTTTTTCTTCATTAGCTAAACAACTTTTATATATTTGTATGTGTCGTACATTCAACTTTTATATATAAATATTGTATCAAACTTATTATATCTATTTATTTTCTTAGGAAATAAATAAATAAATATATATATATATATATATTTAAATGTGGAAAGAAATTTGAGTGTTTAGAAATTCTATTGAATGCTATATTATATTTTTATTTATGAAATATTACTAAATAAAAGTTATATTAAAAAATTAGCAAAAAAAAAAAAAAAAAACTCTTTGAAATGAATATATTTTTTTAGAAAATATATAAAAAAATGTAGAAATTTCCGATAAATAAATAGTAAATTTAGGAAAAATGAGATTGAAATAGAAGAAAGAAGACTTTCTTGTCCCCGCCATTCATATTATAATACCTTAATTTTGTCGTTAATTTCCTATGCAAATACAACACCACACATCCGCTGTAAAGAGCACCAAAATTTTGTTGTCAAATTTTTTATTCAAATACACCGCACTTTCGCTGTAAGAATCACAAACCCTTTTCAATTCTTTAAGTCAAAGAAAAAGCATTTACAACTAATGACGTTTTCAATTAAAGTTTTTGTAAACAGAAACAAAAAATCATAAACAAAACCCCTATTACTCACTCACAAATTCATACATTCATCCACAAACGACAACACACACACACACAGCAGAAAATTCTTGGCACATAGTGAACTAAAAAAGAGCTTCGTCATCACATCACACAATTACATAATTTCAGTTACATGGGGGGTTTGAACTTTGAATTGAACTAAAAGAAGAACAACAACAACAACAACAAACAAAGCTATATATATTTTGAAGTAAAAAGAAAAAAAAAAAAAAGCTAAGAGTTGAAGGGGTTTTTAACCTTTTTATTCTATGGCGATTGACTGTGTTTTGTAGTCATTCCCAATTTGTATGTGTGTTCTTTCTCCATCCATTGATTCTGCTTTTGCTGCTTTCTGCAAATTCCACGAGTTTTGTGGGAACACAGAGAGTTTACCTTTGATGGGGTCTTTTTGATTCTCTTCTTAAGAGGAAGAAGCGCGAGTGACATCTCTACTGGATCTATTGTACTTCATATGGCTCCTCACAAGATGTCCTGCTGAAATTGCAGACATTAGAGACAGCTCTCCTGCAAGAACTGAACCAGCTACAATGGTGGCAAGCAGCCTCGCGTTGGAGCCTGGAGCTTCTCTGTTGGCTCCTTTAACTCCAAGTAGGTTCAAACATGCAGATTGAGAAGCAAGCTGGGTTCCTCCTCCAACTGTGCCCACCTGCATTTAGGAATGAATTGAATAAAAGCAACGTGAGACCCCACAGAGATTTCAATAATGGTTGCCAATGTTTCTAATGCTACAGAGTCTAAAGTAATTGACCTCAATGGAAGGCATGGTTACAGACACGTGAAGATCCTGGCCGTTGTTGACAGCTTCCATCATTGTAATACAGTGAGAACTCTCCACGTTCTGTGCTGGATCTTGCCCTGTTGCGATGAAGATGGCTGACACGATGTTACTAGCGTGAGCGTTGAATCCCCCAAGAGCTCCAGCCATGGCTGAACCTGTAAGGTTCTTGAGCATGTTAAGCTCAACTAAGGCTTGCACATTGGTCTTGAGGACCTTCTTCACTACATCGCCTGTGATTGTAACCTCACAAACCACCGATTTACCACGCCCTTCGATCCAGTTCACAGCAGCGGGCTTCTTGTCCGAACAATAGTTACCTGGTTTTATGAACATACAGAATTTTCCCATAGATGTGAGATAAGTAAGCAAATTGGATACGTTGGGGGTTGCAGAAGGATTTCGTTCTCTTACCAGATATGCCAATTACGTCCATGTCAGGGAAATCGGTCTGGAGGAAATCCAAAACGTTCTGTACTCCTTTGGACACCATGTTCATCCCCATAGCATCACCAGTGCTGCAAGAGAATCTCATATAGAGATTCTTACCAGCAATGGCGCATTTGATACTCTGTAGCCTTCCAAATCGGCTAGACTTGTTGAAAACCGAGGCCAAGGTATCGAAATTCGCTGGTTCCTCCACATAGAATTTCAATTCCGCTGCTCTTTTAGCTGTAGCGAACCTCATAACCGGTGCTCTCGTCATTGCATCTCTCAACAACACACTGTTAGCCCCACCGGACATCATAATCGCTTTACAGCCTCTATTCGTACTCGCAACCAAGCAACCCTCGGTGGTCGCCATCGGTACAGAATACTCCTTACCGTCCAACAACAACGGCCCGGCGATTCCCACTGGAATCTGAACGTATCCAACCGGCATCTCGCAGCACTGCCCCAAAATCGAAGCGTAATCGAATCCTTCCAAAGGAAGTCCCGATAGCGACTTCCCGGTTATTCTCTGCAAGGACTCGCGGCGAATGGCCGCTGCTCGAGCACAATCGCCTAGCTTTGATTCGAGCGAATACGACGGCGTGGTCCCAGCCACAACGGATTTAACAATCTCCTCATCCTCCTCCGTCAAATCAAAGCTAACAGGCACCGGATCAGCCACCTTCGGCACCGAGGGCACAGGAGATGTCAAAATCGGCATCGCGCAATCGATTCCAGCGCCACATGGAACCTTCCGAGTATCCTCCCTAACCAGAACCACCTCATCGTCTTCGGACGTCCACACATCATGCGAAGGACGGAAAATCGACTGAACAAAGTCGATGCCGAAGAATCCGAGAAGGTAAATAAAAGAAGCGACGAACGCAGAGATAGCAACCATTTCGGAAAGCGTAACGACATGGAGAGGAGTCGATGAACGAATCTTCTCACGCCACCGCGTCAGAAGAAAATAAACGACAGAGAAAAACAGAGTAAAGAAAGCGGCATTGGTAAGGTAAATAGGAAGAGGCAAAACATCAGACGCCTTAACTGCATCATGATCACGTTGTTCCATCATCTTAACCTTGAGAGGATTTTTTGCCATGGATTTGACCGGTTGTTGGTCGGCGGAGAAGTTTTTAGCAGGTGGAGAAGACCGGCGACGGTGGGCGTCCATGGTTGGGCAAGAGAAAACTGAAATGGAAAACGCCGACGCCGGAGTTTTCTCTTCTTTTTTATTCTCCGTTTCCTCCTTCCAAATTGAGGAGACGGTTTAGATTTCAGAAAAAATTTGAAGGGTGAAGCGAGGATTTGGGAGAATTTATAGGGCTTTTTCCTCTTTCGTGGGGCCCACCGAACCTGGCCAGCTCAGCACGAACCGGACCGAGCGGAGGGGGTTCATTATTCTTCTTTGTGGGTTGCAAGTTGAGGGCAATCATGTCAATATAGATAATAATAATAATAATAATATATAATTTTTTTTATTTTATTCATTAATTAATCAATAACACTTGTAGAAAAAAGAAATTTAATTACAGTATTTAATTACTTCCTATTTTTAATGGAATTTAGTTTTTATTTTGGTCTTTAAAAAATAGTTTCTATTTATTATTTTACTTTAAAACAGGACACTAATTTATTTAAAAAAATATTTAATTATTAGATAAATATAGCCGTGATGTCATGCTCCATTTAATATAAATATATTTTTTTTTGGCTGTTGAACAAAAGATTATACTTTAATATTCAAATTTAAATTACAACATATGGTTTTAAGTATTTACAAATATTTTTACTTCCAAGAAATTTTAAATTTTATTTTAATTACGAGAATTTGGTATGCCTCGTTAGTATAGATACTATTCTCATTTATTGTCAGTCAAATCAACATCATTTAAGTACGATGGAGTTAATAAAGCAAAATTTACAATGTGAACTATCGGAATAGATTAACTTAATTAAGAGAATTTGGTACGTACTATCAGTATAGATACTATTCTCATTTATTGTCAGTCACGTCAACATCATTATAACGTAGTTGGTAAAGCAAAATATACAATGTGAACGACCAAATTATGTACTATAAATATTGTCGTTTCTTATCAATAGAAGAGATCACGCTCGAGAAAAGAGACTTTTTACTTATAGTTCACTTTGGCTCGTTACGTATCGCTAGCTTCACATTTTTAAAACGTGTTTGGGAGAGGTTTTCATATTCTTATAAGAAATGTTTCGTTATTCTCTCCAACCGATATGAGATCTCACAATCCACCCCTAACTTTGATACAATTTTTAATAACTCAAGCCCACCGCTAACAGATATTATCCACTTTGATCCGTTATGTATCGTTGTCAGCCTCACAATCTTAAAATGCATCGGGAGAGGATTCCACACCCTAAAACGACTTGATAGTAAAAAAAAAAAAAAGTACAAAAATTAAATGTTGAGAAAATTGAGGTCCAAAATAAAAAATTCCAAAAGTTGAAGTACTAAAATGTAAAATGGATAAAAGCTTACCAAAATTATATTTAAATCTCCAAATTAAAGTTAATTAAACCCTATTATTATAAAAAATTAGTTTCTTTACAACTATTTATTAATCATAATTAAGATATTAATTGAATAATTAGTTATGTTATGATTAGACGGTTTCAGATGTTTATCGAGCCAGCTCAAATTTTAAATATCTTTAATGATTATATAAAAATAAATAAATATATTTAAAATTTGAATTTAAATTAAGTAACTATATAATACAAAAAAAATTTATAAATACGGTAGTAGGTGAGAGGAGGAGATAAATACGAAGGAATTTTTATAATGAATTATTGTCAAAGTGATAAATATTGAGAGGAAAAAAACAAATAATTATAAATTATGGTCCATTTATGATATGGGACTCTTACCGGATACCAACTAATCTCGAGCAGTGAAGATTTTATTATATTTGATCCACGTATGTATCTTAGTTGGTTTAGCCACGGGGTCGCTCCACTCGTATTTATGATTATGTATGTGTCTAGAGTAGCGAGGCGAGTGGTCTATCATGGCTAACCCATATATGTATCTTAGTTGGTTTAGGCACGGGGTCACTCCTCTCGTGTTTATGATGGGTCACTATGATGGGCTCAAAGGGTCGTCAACGAAGCTTCAATAGCAAAGAGTCTTTTATGGCTGACCTATATGTGTCAACGTTGGCTTGACATGGAACTAGCTGGTTGCACACTTAAATCAGTGAAACTTGGATATATGACTTTTATGATTCAGGATATGTGAGATCTCATACCGGTTGGAGAGAGGAACGAAGCATTGATTATAAGGGTGTGAAAATCTCTCCATGGCATACGTGTTTTAAAACATTGAGAGAAAGCTCGGGAAGGAAAGTCCAAAGAAGACAATATCTACTAGCGGTGGGGTTGGGCTATTACAAATGGTATTAGAGGCAGACATCGAGCAGTGTGCTAGCGAGGACGCTGGGGTCCCAAGGAAGGTGGATTGTGAGATCCCACATCGGTTGGAGAGCGGAACAAAATATTATTTTAAAAAGCATACAAATCACTCTTACCAAACACAAAAATATTATAATTTATTTGAAGTAGAAAAAATCAAATACTTTTGCTTATTTTTTAATTAAAAAAAATGTAGGATTAATTTATTTTAGTTTTAGATCATATTATTTTAATACTATAATCTTACGCCTCAAATTTTATATTTATTATTTCTATTAAAGATTATTAAATGTTATTTCTATAAGCGACACGGTAACAAATATTGACTTTGACAAGTTATTTATAAGATGATATATTTTATTTTAATATTATAAAATTTATTAAATTAAATTGACTTTAAATTATTTAAATTTGGTTGAAAACTATTAAACATAAAAAGCATAATTCCTCTATCTCAATTTCAGCTTCGACCTACTCTTCTGCTGATGTCGTAACCAACACATCCTACGAACGGTGGTGCGAGACCGACTCCTCCTTTGTAGTGAGTTTCATGAGTAATTGTAAATTGGACCCGAGTAATTCACTCGGATAGTTGTTGAACCATACCACATAGTTCCAGCAACAACAAAAACTGCAAAAAAAGATAGCACCAATACTACTCGTAAGGACGGTTTCAATATTTTCCATACGTAATCCTTTGTATAGAGGTTGGGGCGGACAAACACTAAGATGAAATAGGTCCGCTAATATGCCCAATGTACTTGCTGCAATATGACGAGAGACTATTCCGCCTAAAACAAAAGGATCAAACCCTTCGACACCCCACGAAGAATTTACAACTTATACCCTTCTAGTTGATCCAAGGATCGGATACCCATATTCCCAAACGATACATATACTAATCGAGCCACGTAAGTTATTTACTTTTATAGCTATTTATGGAAAAAAAAAAAAAAAAACTCTGTAATTTTTCTTGAACTATCGAGTTAATCACGTAACTCTCTTATATATTTTTACCGACATGCATACAACAATGACACTTGAAGAAGTCGTAGAAGTCCAATTATTAGAACATACGCTTAAAAATTAATATATTTATTAGTCGTTATTTTATTATAAATAACCTTAATAGAATAATAAAAAGGACCACGCATTAAAAGTTAGGTAGAACTTATCATTTAATTATATATAAATTTTTTGTATTAGTTTTTATTTAAAAATATATATATATTAAGCAATTAAGGGATTTGGTAAAATATTTAAATTTAAGAGTTTACTTGTAATATATCTTAATTTAATCACTTTGAAAAATAAAATTAATAAAAAAATTGATAACTTATTTTTAAGGAAAAAAAAAACGTTTTAAATAAAAAAATTAATTTGGTTGCTTATATCACTTTTTTTTTTTTTAATTTCCATACCTACTCCAAGTATTTCTTTTTAAAATAGTTTTAAATTTAGTTTAAAAAAAATTAATTTATTTAAAAATTATTGAATAAACAATATTAAACACATTTTTTAATTATATATTATTTTTTTATATTTGATTTCATTACTATTTTTTATTTGTTGTCCAACTACTCTTAAAAATAATTTTTAACTGGAAATAATTTTTCGAAATATATATTGAAATTAAATTACAAATTTTAATCAAATATTCGAGTTAAAAATTTTACCGCTTGAACGTGTAGGTTGGATCTAAAAAATGTTCTAACTCAACCCACGAACACATTATAGTCTCAAATTTGTCTAAACATTGGTAAGCTCGAGTTTAGATTGATCGATGTGGAAGATTTAAACGCTTCTTAATCGATTGTATATACTTAAAACGTTCACATTGGTCGAGCATGATTTAATATTTAATTAATAAATGGTTTAACAAATAAATATTTTAATTTTCAATATAAAAATTCGAATTATCCATGCATTGACTTCTTTTTTGGGGAATTTAAGAATTAATGACACGGAAACTAACGAAATTTCTAATTATTTGACTTCAATTATTAGGAATATTTCGATTTGTTCTGAGATTTTTATTTAATATTTATATTTTTTTAGGAATATAATTTTTTAAGCAAAGTGAATAAAAAAAATGGCCTCATTTTCATCGTGAAAACTAAAAAACACTCTTAAATTAATAAATAATATTTTTTTTCTAAACCGAACATCGGAACTCTGACCTTTTAATTAAAGGTATAATAGTTGCTCGTGTTGATTATTTTTATTGTAAATATTATTATAAATATTAGTTAACATCGTCTTCTTAACGATCTCTCAGTACCCATTGAATATGGTGCCGTGTCTAATTATTTCTACATCGTTTTGCTTCCCATTGTATACCCCTTGTCTGCTTTGGCCCGTTACATATTTTTGTCACGAGTCTATTAGGGAAAGATTTCACACTCTTATGTATGTTTCGTTCCCCTCTCCAATCGAGCTGAGATCTCACAATCCACCCCCTTGGAGACTCAATGTCCTCCTTAGCACAACTTTTTGTGTCTGACTCTGATATCATTTGTAACAGTTCAAACTCACTGCTAACTGATCTTGTTCGTTTTGGCCCGTTACGTGTTGTTGTCAGCTTCACGATTTTAAAATGTGTCTACGAAAGAAAGGTTCCTGAAATGTTTTATTATCTTCTCTAATCGATGTGGGATCTCACAACTATGCTCTCTCGAATCTAATTGTGGTTCAATTATTCTTGTCACACGGTATCGAATAAATAAAATTACTGTACTTTTTTTATTCAATAATTTACAAGATACCGAGGATGGTAATTATTTCAAATAACAAGAAATAATATTCTCTTTAAAAAAAGACAACG